CACCACTGCTCTACACAGTATGGGCCTGACTGTGTGGCCACCAGGACAGCGGCTGCTGCAGTCACAGTTCTTCCGTGCCCCTACATGCTGCTGCTGACAGCCACCAAACTGCCCCAAGCTGACAATGCCACCGAAGCCCAAAGGAAACTGCTGGAATTAAATAGCCTGGCATAGATACCAGGTAAAGTCTGTCCTAAAAGCATGCACACACATGCACCCTGGACCTCACACACACAGCCCACACACCACACGGCCCACACGCCACGCCGCAGCCCTTCCGCCCCTTCTTTCTCCCTCTGACTTCTCAGAGTGCTGCTGCCCACATGGCTACTTGGGTTCTATGTCACCTCTAGGGATTAACTTGAAATTCCTTGGCTGGTGGAGTCCTACACACTTGTGGCTTCTGCTTCTAATTTCTGCCTCTCAGACCCCAGTGCTCCACATGCTCTGAGCTGCTCCAAGTTCAGCCTTTCCTGCACATTCCAGTCGCCCCCACCAAGCTCTGTCTTTCTAAGTGCTGTCCCTTCCACACATCCTTCCCCGAACCTTCTGTCCCCGGCATTCACTTGCTAGGCTCACAGCACCCCGGCAGCCTTTCCTCCACTCTTCACAGTTCCCACCTGCGCTTCAGCACCTGTACTATTTTTTTTAGTTATTTATTCAGCAGCAAGTGTTATCTATCATGTACCAGGGACTGGGATACAGTGAGGTACCTCTGTATTCCTACTGCCAGAAAATGTTTGTCGATGAATACTTGAATGGGAGAACTACAAATAAGACCTTCACACCATCAGAAAAGCCTTTTCCTGCTTTCTTTTTCCCCATTTGTGATTTTAAAGGACAATAAGGGGGCCAGGGAGATGGCTCAGTGGCATAAGCACAAGGTCCAGAGATCAATTCTCACAAAAAAGCAATAAAATGGCGCACCTGTACCATGGAAATGGAAAACCATAAAAATCACAGAACCAGCACCGAGCCCTTCTATATTTGCAAATATCTCCACTGTCCCCTCCAAGGTCCACAATCACTTTTTGTCACCACCATTTCAGAGAATCCTTTCTCCCACATTTAATTGTAAGTGAGGAACAACGTTTTTGCCATTAATATGAATATATTCAATTCTTGCATCATTAATACGAACATACACAATTCTTGCACCACAAAATATGCATCATCTTCTGCCTTAAAAGTCTGTGGTGGAGCCGGGAGATAGCTGTGGCACAAGCGCTTCCCTGGCAAGCACAAGGTCCTGAGTTTGATCCCCAGTGCAACAATAAAAGAAAAGTCTTCATGAATTAACTTGAGAATCTCTACTCATTACACTGTTTCCACTGAAAAAGATATTTCAAATGATAAAAGTCACAAGCAATGCCACACCCTATTTTTTCTTTAAGAGCTGCAGATAAAGTCAGGGAATTTCATACCAGTCAATTATGAGGATTCAATGAACTGCTCTTCCCAGAAATAACCCTCTGCAAAAGGAGGCTGGCCGGCAGTGGCAGTGACTGTGGCAGTGGCCACGCAGAGCTGGTGGTTGAAAGTCTCTCAGCTAAGAGCATGAACATTCTATAAAAAAAGCCAAAACTCACACAGCTGATGTGGACCAAGTACCCACTGGTCCAGCCTTGAGTAAAAAGTGAAAGCCAAACATATCCACAGGGACCACACAGCCAGCTTCCTGTCACTATAACACATACTCAAGATAGTCATTTATTAATAGGAAAGGTTTATTTTGGCTTACGGTTTCCAGTGCTTCAATTCATGATCAGTTGGCTCCATCAGGGTCCATAAGGCAGAGTGAAACTCCTCAATTCACGACCGGGAGCCAAAGAGAGAATCAGAAAGGGGTCCTACCTCCTCCTCAAGAGCAGACTCCACCCCTGTGGCCTGATGACAGACACCAACCCCTACCTTTGCCACCAGTGCCAAGCTGGGGGACCAAGCCTTTAACCCATGGCCCTCAGGGGACAGTCAAGACCCAAACGGAGCAGAAACTGAGACCATTATTTTCATTGCATTTCCAGGGATGATAAACCGGAGGCAAAAGATGAACCAGTAAATTGCCAGATTCTAAACCCATGGAAGAAAATAAAAAGTGAGTACAAACATCCTATAGACCTCAGATAAACCGTGTCTAAGGGCAAGTGCTCACTCTATTTAAATTCAGTTCGGCAGAGAACAGAACCAAGTTCACACTGTCACTGTCTTTTCTTTATTCTATTCCAATCAAGCTCCAGATATCAAGTTTCCCGTTCATCAAGTTTTTCAATCTCTGAACACTAGAAGTGTGCGTGTGTGTATGTGTGTTTCAACCACACCAGGCAAAATAAATTACAGGATGACTTGGGTCCAGAAAATGCCAGCCACTCAATGAATGAGTCATGCTGCACAGCCTAGTTTTCTGAATTGGTAAGAACTTTACGCACCAAAGCCGTTTCAGAGGTTAATTGTCTGGCGGGTAAATATTTTCCAAGCATATTGAACATTTCCTCATCTCCTAAGAGTGCATTTTAAAAAAATGTGTTCTTTAGATAGCTTGCCATGATTACCCATAAATAGCAATATTGATTTACATTATTGCAAAGGGATGCTGGCGGTGGATTCAGGGTTTCTACCAACGCGTCAGGCCTCTTTTTCCGAAAGTGTGGCAAAAGCTATAGTTTTCCTCTCCCTGCCTGGCCGTCCAGTTAATAGAAGTCAATTCTTTTTTTTTTTTTTTGCAGAACCGGGGATTGAACTCAGGCCTTTGTGCTTGCCAGGGAAGCGCTTATTCCACTGAGCCATCTCCCCGGCCCCAATAGAGGTCAATTCTGACTATGGCAGCCCCTCATTCCTTTCAAAAACGTGCTATTCCCACTATACTGTGGACTAGTTTTCAAATCTAAAAAAGGAATGCTAGGCTTATGCCTAGAGTAACCATAAGGATATTCCAAGAGGGGGTCTGAATTGGTAAGAACTTTCAGACCTCCTTCCTGCTTCTTGGCCAAGTTCCAGATATGCAGAGAGGCCCAAGAAGTCTGCTGTGACAAATTTCGATGATGCTTGTTCTGACTCCCATCTTCCAAAAGTAAGCCAAGCCTCCTAGGAGCTCCCTACTGGATCCCCTCTCCCAGCCTCACAACCAAGTAAGTGCAAAGGTTTCCATCCAGGCAAAAAGTTCCGGTTCAAAGATGAATCCAGAAAACCGAAGACCAGTCCCTACCTTACATAATAGCTCTACATGTTGTGTGTCTACATCACTTTCCAGCACAAACAAGTGGGTGTCTCATACCACCGAATAAGGTTTTTCAAAGTTTGTGGGGGAAAATTAACAGATGATTTCAAAAACCTTGCAAAGGTGGAATATTTTTGTTTGTTTCAGCCCAGTCATTTGTTTTTAATATCTTATGTCTACTTGCTTTACTTAACTAACGTGATAGCTGCTATACTGGGAGAGGAAAATCCTCTCCATTACTCAAAGGGAAAAAATGCTGCTCCTACAATCGAGGGACACGAAGACGGGTTCTCATGAAATAGCCCCTAGGAGGGCTAAAGCCAAGCCCTCACATAAGTGACTGTCCTTAGCATCTTTGCATTCTACGGAACCAAAAGGTTTATATAACCTTGTTTTTCCAACCCAAGAAAGCAAAAAGAAGCAGGTGAACCGCAGACATTAAAGACAGAAGTGGAGAATGGGCTGTAGTTACCCCTTTCTCAGCTCTCAGGAAGGTGCTGGCCGCTCAGCTATTTATAAACGTAGAGCTCCAGGGAAAGGGGCTGCCTGCCGAGTCACCCCATGAGTGGCGCGTGGGCTGGGCTAGATGGACTCCCTCCGAATCCCCCTCCATACTTGGCAGTGTGGGATCCTGTGGATGCAGTCTGGCGAAGGCCTGCCAGGATTTCCAGCGGTCACTTCCACCCTAGGATGCTATATATGGAAACATCCCATCCTCGGGTTTTCAGCATCAGGAGGGCCACACCAGGCAGCAGGAATGAGGAAGAGGCCGCCTGGCCTCCCGTTGCTGCTCTGGCTACTGGGAAGGCACACACGCCAGCCCCCTGCGCGGGCCTAGACCTAGTGGCCCAATGGCAGTGCAGCTCTGGCGGCCTGGGCTTCCAGCCTAACACAGAACAGCTGGAAGGGGACCCTGCATTCCTTTTTCTGCAGAAACACTGGGGGCTCTGTTCACCTCCTGCTGCAGCGTGGTGAACCAAGCATTTCCCCATCCAAACTTCCAACCCCAAAGACCTTTCTCCCACCCCGGCCTTCCCTGACTGCTGAGGATATCATTTCAAACTGTCTCCACCCCACCAGCAAAAGGCAAACTACTGGACCGTCCAAGTGCATTCACTTTCCATACTACCAGAGGCGTTTGTAAATGCCAGCAGGTGAAACGCTTCCATTCCACTCAGTAAAGTTTTCCAACAGAAAACACTGAGGAACCCCGATTCATGCTTGCACCTCCTCCGAGATCCCTATCTGTACAGGTAATGTCATGGTCAGTGAGCGTAACTCATCAAATCCTTACTGCAAATGTCACTTTAATAGTCTGTAGCATCATCTACATGATATTCCAAAGGTGAACCTCTAAAACACAATATTCATTAGAGGGGGTGATAAAATTGCACGTTCGGGTGCTTTTCCTGCAACCTGACCCGAGTTCGGCTGCTGATGGACAGTCCGGGCTTCTTCATGTGTTGCTGGAATCCAGCGAGCCATGCTGCCCAAAAGAAGGGGGAAAAAAGCCCAGAAAATCCAGACTCTACGTGACCTGACTTACTTATTTCCCAGGAAACTGCATGAGAGAAAAATCAATCAATCACGGTACCGTAGCTACCACAAGGAATGGGCTGAGGAGTTCACAGTGGGCAAACGCGAACACTGGCGGCCGAGGTGAGTGGGCGGCAGGTACACGTCTGGGGCGCGCGGGGTGATGGGGTCCCGGGGGGCCAGGCCGACCCGGGAGGGGGTGGGGCCGGGCCGGGGAGGGCGGGACGGCGGCAGCGGGGCGCACACTTACCCGGGCTGTTGGCCTCGCCTTCTAGGACGTGCAGCTCGGCGCAGTCCGCCAGCGAGTGCTCCAGGCAGAGCTGGAGGAAGCGAGCCTGGGTCTGGCTCACGCGCTTGAGCAGCGACAGCAGCGCAACAGTCTGCTCGCACTCGTTCCAGCCCTTAAACCAGCCTGCCAGCACCCCGACCTGGTCGCGAAACATCATGGTTGGGGGGCTGCCCTCGGTCTACGAAGCCCTCTAGCCCACCCCGCTGGCTCCAAAGTTTGACGAAGCCGCAATCCCACGGCCCCCTCCAGAGACGCGTCGCGGTGCGGGCGCTGCTAGGGCGCCTCCTGCCTCGGCCGTCTGGTTTCGGGGACGTTCCGCTGCTCCTGGCTGATTTCCCCAGGGGCGATGACAGACAGTGGCACGGAAATGTTTCTTTTAAAATAAAATGTTTTGACAAAAAAAAAAAAAAAAAATCCCTCGCAAGGCACACAACTGAATGAAGAATGCGCTCTCTTCCCCCTCCTCGAAGCTCCGGGGTGGTGGTTTCCGACGTTCCGGGGTCTCCTCCCCGCTGGGCGGCAGTCGGACCCTTCACTCCCGCATTCCCAAGCGGCATTCAGCTCTGGAAGGAGAGAGAGAGCTGCAGTGAGACCTCGGCGGCGGGCGGGCGGGGAGCCGCCGGGGACAGCGCATCCGAGGGCGCGGGGCGGGGTGCGTGGGGGCGTCCCGCGGAGGAGCCCCCCCAAGATTCCAGCGCGCTTGGGCGCCGGGGTGCGGGAGATGGGCCGTCCCCGCGCGGGGAAGGGCTCGGAAGCCGCCCACCCAGGTGCGGGAGGGGAGCCGAGCTCCCTGTTGCTGCGGCTGCTGGGGCTGGGGCTCCCGGCGCGCCCCGCCCGGCCGCCTCCGGGGCTGCGCCTGCGAGTGGCGGCCCAGCAGCGGCTCTTCCTTCCCCGCGCGGAAAACTTGCACTGCGGCTGCATCCGAGGGGCGCAGGGGTGGGGTGGGCTAATGCAAAGCAGAGGCGGAGGCAGA